ATGTTCTCTATATCTATTCTCTACATTTATTCTTTTTCATTATATCTTTGCAAAAATATATATTTGAAATATATATATTCAAATATATATATTCAAAGATATATTTTTTCTTTTTTCATATTCTATCTCATGTGTTTATACATGGATAGGCTTTCATTGAGTGGATATAATACTTTCTTTAAACCATAAAAAACTCGGACGGGAAATTAAAATATATCTAAAATAATACTTATTATTTTTAAAACAATTGCCCCCCTCGCGTAAAATATTGATAGGTTTTAAATCTTTCTAAAACTGTGTAGGTAGGGATTTACAATATTGATAGATTCTAAATCCTTCTAAAACGGTGTAGGTAGGGATTTACAATATTGATAGGTTTTAAATCTTTCTAAAACTGCGTAGGTAGGGATCTACAAACGCTTTGTAGAAATTACGTTAGGCCGGGTAGGTAGAAAATTTTAAATCAAGTAGGTAGGAAATATATTAGACTGAATCGATAGGAATTGGAAGAAATAAAAATGTAAAATTAGGATCAAGGCATGCGTCGTGCAGCCTTAATCCTAATTACTAAGGCGAGTAAGATTTAAGATAGTCAGATGTTTATAAGATAGGTAGGCAGGATTATGTATATTATTGTATTTTATTGTATAATATTGTATTCCATTGTAATGTGTAAAACAAATTGTAAAATGAAACTTGTGAATTGAAAAAACTTGTTGCATAATATTTTATTCCATTGTAATGTGTAAAACAAATTGTAAAATGAAACTTGTTAATTGAAAAAACTCTGATGATGAATTCTAGTAAAGCCACAAAAGTTTACTTCTTGAAATTGCAACTTTTCAGACACATATATTTGTGTACCGTTAAAACAAATTTGTATAATATATTTTTTTATCTATTTTGTGTATATGTATATGTAGTCGTTTCAATAAATAAAAAAAAAATAAAATAAAATAAAATTTATAAAACAAATAAAGCAGCAAATGATGTGAAAAGAGACACGATACCTGACTCGATCAATTCTGCTGATGCTGCTCGCTGAAATAATATTCTTTTCTTTGACAATCACATCTATGTTGTGTGGAAAGTTGCAAAGTTTTGTTTTCTATCTCCGTTTCCAGTTCTCCTTTCTGAGAATTCCGTCCTTTTCACAAATCAGTCGGCTTTTAATTATCGGAAGAAATCAAATTTGCGCGCTTGCGACAAACTCGCTAGTACTTCACCACCTAAAAAAGCGCAAAACAATAAATTTTTGTATACGCAATAATTTTGTAATACGTGATAGTTTTTAATAGCATCAAATAATGATCCGTAAAAATACACTCACTTGATTACATTCCATCGTGTACTCCCGCGGTAACGTTTCACGGTTGCGAGAAGTTCTGATGCTGCTTGTTGCTTCAATCGTTTTTTTAACATTAACATATGCATAGATTTTACACCGTTGTTTTATATTTCTGTTTCTCAAACGTAATCGCGTGCAACGATTCTAAACGCGCAGACATTTTGTTCCTCGCGCGCGCTTCACGAAACGGTCGCGACGCAATTTTACCGCGAAACTCTCGCCGAATTAGCGTCATTGTTTGTAATAATTACCTAATCACTGCAAAAAGCTTGACGCGTGTAGGACCGATATTCGCGAGACGGTGACAATCGCGAGAAACACGGGAACACAAATCTCGAACGTGATTCCGATTCGCGCGTCCGCCATAACTGCTCGTTAGTTGAAGCGCGTCTATACACTTCGAGAATCGAAATATCGAATCGACGCGCGCGGAAAGGCTCCGATTCGATTAACTGCGATTTGGATCTCGACGATTAATCGATCTGTCGCATCGATCGATTAATTTAAATCGCGATTACGTAATTCGTTGGCAAGACTGGAATTTCATGCGCGCGATCTCTCTCGTCGGCGAAGATCTAACTTTAGGCTGAAGATGCCGCAACAATCGCTCGACAATCAACGAGAGAGAGAGGAAGAGGAGAGCGCAAATGTGCTGTGCTCATTTCATCAGAATTCGGCGTGCGCACTGGCGAGGATCTTGCGGGATCGCCGCGTAGAACGTGGACAAAATTTTTGGTTGAAATGGTGAGTAAAGAGATTTTAATCGCTAATTAATACAAATCGTCGCAGCGTCCGCGCGATTTAACGAGCGAAAAATCGCGATTCTCATTTAACAATTTTTGCAAAATCTCCGAATCATTTCGTTCGCAAAAGCCGGCACTGTTTACACGTTGAGCGCGCGAAGGTTATAATATATCTCTTTTCTCTCCCGCATGTTTTCATCCCAGTAGGGTGTTTACTTGACCTTTGAGAAAGGTTTTCCTCGAGAACCAGAAATCTCCGATGTCGTGTCTCTTCACGACAATCGCGTCTTAATTTTTGTATCAACGTTAACGCCCGCGTATTTAAAAAAAAAAAAACAACAAAAAATTGTATATTTTTAAAGCAAAGTCTGTTCAACACGTAGCGCACATCTTTTCGATAACGCGATTCAAAATTAAAAAAAAAAAAAAAACAAATTGACAAGTTTACTTCGTTACTGAGTCGCCAAGAGCGAGTTCGTTAAAAAAAAAAATGTTGCAACAGTTTCAGAACATTGCGTCTTGTAGAGCTAGTCTGAAAGGAGCCACGCACTCGACGAGACGCGTGAGAAATGGCACGAGAGAATATTTATTTTCACACATACCCCAACCACCGCCGACAGAATTGCATAATGCACAAGTGCAGTCGGTAAGTTGAATAGTTTTTTTTTTTTTTTTTTGAGGTAGAAGTTGAACAACGCTGAAGCGTCGGTCATCATTGTTGTTCTCGTTTCGCAGATTCGATTGTACTCGAATCCGGGAAGACGGCCGAATTTCTTCTCTCAGTTTTTGGAGAACATCAAGCAGGAAATGGAGAAGAATAAAGAAATGAAAGAAAATCTGAAAAAGTTCAGAGAGGAGGCTCAGAAATTGGAGCAGTCGGAAGCGCTGAGAACGGCGAGGCAGAAGTTTCAAGCCGTTGAGTCCGAAGCTAGCAAAGGGTCGGAAGTGATCAAGGAGAAGTTGGACACGATTAAGGAAAAGGTAAAAAGCGCCTCATCTTATTTTTGACCTTGTTGACGATGAGAAAAATGAGAAACAACTGATGCATGAGATATAATCGTCGAAAGGTACAAGAGGTCATTGAGGAAGCGAGCAAGACTGAATTAGGCAAACGCGCCGGTCAATTGGGCGAGGAGATCACGAAGTCCGCGAAAGGCGCGGCCGAGACGATCTCCGAGAAGAGTCAGGCGCTGGGCAAAACGGGCGCGTTTCAAACAATATCCCACACCGCGGAGGCGGTTCGAAACGAGCTTGATCAACATGGGATTTTAGGTAGATTGTTTAAATATACCTAACCGTGTGTTATAAAGACTCTCAGAACTTTGACCTTGTTGTCGTTTTTGACACGGGCTTAGAAGTTGAACTTTGTTATTGTTTGTTACGTAGGAAACGTTTATATCGCGCCTAAACAGTTACGAAAGAGAAAAGAAGTGCCGATAGAAACTAGAGAAATTCTACCCGACGAGCACGCGACTGGGGTGGAAGTGCACAAGGACTTCATGTTTTCCAACGCCTGGCAGAAGTTCAAGGTAATTGTTAGAGAAATAGAGAAATCGGTGAAATTTAGCAAAAAATTAGAGAGAGCATAAACGCGAACGTCTCTCTTTAATGTCGTCCTGGTTGCAGGATAACAATCCATACGTTAACAAGGTAATGGATTGGAAGATAAAGTACGACGAATCGGATAACGCGATGGTGCGCGCTTCGAGACTGCTCACGGATAAAATCTCGGACATCATGGGCGGACTCTTTCAAAAGACCGAACTGTCGGAGACTCTGACCGAGATCTGCAATCTTGATCCGAGCTTCAGTAAAAGTCAGTTTTTGAAAGACTGTGAGACAGATTTTATTCCGAATATTCTCGAGGCGATGATCAGAGGCGACTTGGAGATACTAAAAGACTGGTGCCACGAAGGGCCTTACAACATAATCGCGCAACCGCACAAGGAACTCAAGAAGCTCGGACATCGTTCGGATAGTAAAATTTTAGGCAAGTTTTTGTTCAAGTAATTTTTTATTGTTGAATATACGAAGGTATCCTGGAGGAAAGACGCGCTTTCGAGAAAAAAAAAATTTGTATTTTTCAATCGCAGATATCGACAACGTGGATCTGATGATGGGGAAGATGATGGATCAGGGACCGGTGTTGGTTATCAGTTTTCAATCTCAACAAATAATGTGCGTGAGAAATTCCAAGAACGAGGTGGTGGAGGGTGATCCGCAGAAAGTGATGCGCGTCAATTACGTCTGGGTTATGTGTCGCGATCGGACGGAAATCAATCCCAAAGCTGCGTGGCGTTTGCTCGATCTCAGTGCCACCAGTTCGGAACAGTTGGTATAGTGCGCGAAAATATCAAGTTGAACTGTTTAGAAATTTACGCAACCAAGAGAGAGAAGAGAGAGAGAGTCCAGTACATATTGTAGTATTTGTTCATTTTTTTTTTTTTTTTTTTTTTTATCGTTGCCATTCACAACGTCCACAATCTTCAATCAAAAGTGATTGAAACAATCGTCTAGCGTGCGTATATAATAGTCATAGTGCGTTTTCATAGTATATTTTTTATGAAAGAAACAAAAAAATTGGTTATTTATTTCACAGATTCTAAGAACGCGTATGTAAATCTCTGAGTAAAATTTATAAAGTTTTACCAAGTTTCGATATGAAGAAAATTTATAGACCGATAAGAGATCTTTCTTTCACCCGTAAACAAAACTAGATTAGACTAGATGACTAGATTATAAAATAAAAACTTGATTAATTTTCCCTTGTTTTCGAACATTTTATTATTTCATTTCCGTCTTATTATAAATCTTATAACAAATAGAAGATTTATAATAAATTTCGTAATAAATTGATACAATATAATATAAATTGATATAATTAATAAATTAATAAATTTCATATTATATTGAAAAATTCATTTACAAACTGGAGATGGAATAAAATTTGTCGTCGAAACGTCCCCCCCCCCTAAAAAAAAAAAAAAGAAAATAATCAGATTTTATTTATTTAATCTTGTGTTTTATCGGTCTATTATTTTTTCTTATCGAAAACTTCATATAAATTATTAGTTAGTTATTCGACAAGTCAGTCTGCAAATGCACAGAGATCACGTTCAACGCGATATCAAAGTTCCGCGCCGAAACTTGCTCTCAATACAAAAATAGGTTTTAATATTGAAACAATTTTGTTCCTGTCTATCTAACGTGTGCGTCTGATGAATAATTTGATAATAATTTGGCGATTTTTATCATGCGACTGACGTAATTTACACATCGACTATATAACTGGTGATACAACCGACGAATTTTTCGATGTGACAAAAAAAGCGCAAAAAATATAGAATATAAAATCAAAAAAATTAATTAAATTTCAAATACGAGAATTGATTTATGCGTTCTGTTTTTTGAGAAAGAAAATTGACCAACAAATTGGTTAAAAATTTGTGAGACATAGACGTACCTCGTTGATAATTTAAGCTTGCTAACGTAAACAATTCAGTTTTTGGAAAAATTGGTTTATTTTCAGGAATTTTTTATTCTATATTTTTACTCGCACACGCGCAAGCATTTTCTCGACTGTCAGTTGTTGAACACTCGGTACATTCGACGTCGATTGACTGAACTTTCGTGCTGGTTTGGAACATATGTGAAATTTTTGTGTTTTAAAATAATTTTCATTATTTACAAACAAATAACAATTTATCTCTTCAAACGTTAATTTATCTGGTAAAAATAATCTTTATCAAAGTTTTATCTGGTGAGCCGAAATCAAATCGGAAGAATCGCCAATTGCTGTTGTTTCGATTGTCTTTTCTACCGAACGGACTCTGCGAAAAAAACGATGAGCGGTTTCGTGTTTCTCACGATGACCGGCGTCTTCGTGAACCCGTCGGTTTCGCGAGTTCTCGTTCTCGTGGGTTTGAAGAATCCGGCGCCGGATTCGCGTGGAACGCGCGCAAACGTTTCTCTTCCTCGTGATTTTCTTTTGCTATTTCTTCAGCTTGTCTCGCTCGCCGAAACTAAACGGGGACGGTTCGTGTTTGCGAGCCGTTTGTTTTTCGCGGCCGGGTCCCAGACGACTTCGAGAAATTTAGCGTCGAAACACAGTCACCAGCAGGTGACTCGCAACATAGCCTTGTCCGTTTTTAGTTTTGAGACACAAAACTCATATTAGAGAAGAAACAAAAAAGTCGAAACTCTACCACCTCCAGACTGCAGGTTTTCTCGATAACATTATCTAAAAGATTAAGCGTATCTTTTTTGTATATTTTTATCCAGAAGATAGCTGTCGGGGGGAGGTGTGAAGAAATCGATAGTAGAAGAGAGTTGAAGCTGTTGATTTTAACACAAATTAACGAAGATTTTGTTTGTCGATTTTATTTTGCAAAGACTCCATCATGTATGCGCGTGCATATACGTACGTAATGTTTATAAATATTAATATTTGTATTGCAAATTAAACATTTAAATAACACAAATACTTGATATATTTATAAATATTATATAATACGTGTGTGTGTGTGTGTATGTTCGTGTGTGTGTGTGTGTGTGGAAGTTAATTCCGATTGGAATATAAGTTAAAAATAAAATGACATCCAAAGCGACCATTGGTGACCAAATCACGAGGAAGAGTATTATTATTATTATTATTTTTTTTTTTTAACTAAAACACTAAAATTTCACAAACGTACAACGATCACGAATGAACTTGGTTAATTCGCGCAATTGATAAGATATACAACTATAGTCGCAATTCATGCCATTATTGACGAAACAAAATTATTTTAGCAATTGTTAGTAAATTAAATTTTGTAATTTTGCAAATATTACAATTACCGAAAGTTAAAACGTCTCAATGAAGTCAGAAATGTAACTTTTATTCAGACCCAATAGATAATATCTCATGACTAGCACAAAATATATTAATAAAAAATAAATTATTTTGGTAATTTGTAAATTTTGTATTTTTGCAAATATTACAATTACCGAAAGTTAAAACCGTTTTCATGAAGTAAGAAACGTAACTTTATTCAGATCCAATAGATATATATCTCACGACAAAATGTCGAAGATTTGGATCTTGCATGTGTGTAATTTTCCTGATGAAATCTGTGGACGCAAAAGTGAATAACGCAAATTCGTTGCACGTACGAATCGATTTCTCTCGAAAACGGAGTCTCGTACGAAGAAACAGTATTTTGATATTTTGTTGCGAAACAATTAACACACGTATAGATAGACGCGAACAATATTCCGAGATATACCCGGTTGTTAATAATAGACGATTGCGTATAAATTATACATAAATGTACATATTTGTACAAACCGCTTATATAATATATACAGTAAAAATTGTTGAGAGTGAAATTGTTGATATTTTATTTTGTAAAGATTCTATTATATGCGTGCATATATGTTACATATATATATATATATATATATATATATATATACAGGATGTCCCAGAATTCTAACATCGCTCGTGGACAGGTAGAAGAAGTAAAACTAAGTCGATAAGTCCTATACCAATTTGCTAGATTCGCAATAGTTACCGAAATTTTAATTAACAAGTCCTATACCAATTTGCTAGATTCGCAATAGTTACCGAAATTTTAATTATAACAAAGATACGCGAATACGCGTGCATCGGGTTGTCTTACGCGCGTAGGACAGCCCGGCGCGCTTCGCACAATTACATTTTAATGTGTATATGTTGTAGTATATGCTGTTATATTAGCTCCTTCCATATGTTGCTACGAGTAACACCGTAAGCGCGCGAAGCGCACTGGGCTATCTTAAGCGCGTAAGACAGCCCGATGCACGCTTATTCGCAGATCATTAAGATTTAATTAAGATTTCGATAACTATTGCGAATCTAGCAAAAAATGGTATAGGACTTATCGACTTAGTTTTACTTCTTCTACCTGTCCACGAGAGATGTTACACCAATTCTGGGACATCCTGTATATATATACATATATATATATATATCGTCACTCCCTACGTATAATTACATAAGTGTCACATATGGGATTTTCAGTTTATTGCATAGTGACACTTAGAAAGTCATGTTCTTTATGGTCACCAAATATTAAAAAAAAATATTCATAAATAAGGTACAAATTTGAAACCGAAAGATCCCTAACTATAGGGAAACATATGAAACTTTATACTTTTAAACTCTCCTCTAAAATTTGCGTTTTGGAGTTACGGGATTATACGTAGGGAGTGACGATATATATATATATGTATATTAATATTTATAAGTATTGTGTATTTATGATATATATTAAAAATTTAAATTATATTATAAATATTTAAGATATTTGTAAATATTATATATATAAAATTTAGTTCCGATCGCGGGATGCGAGTTAAGAATAAAATGACACACCCGATGACACACCACATCAAAAGAGAGTATTATTTATATAATTAAATTTAATTTATATAAAATTTTTAACACACGCAAATGTTTTTCCAAAAAAAAAAAATATTACTCGAAGCAACAAATAAAAACAAAACAAACCAAAAACAAAAAAAACAAGACGTAACTGCGTAACGGGTTGTTTTTGATAACACACATGGCATTTGCTTGGCAAAATTCAACTTTTATTTGTACGTTCCTCGTAACAATAATTGCTTTAAACTTTTGTTTTTTTTTTTTTTTTATAAATATACAAGAAATAAAAGTACAACATTCCAGTCATTTATCACTTTTCGATATACATATATATATAAATTTAAATTGGGGACGTACAAGTATCAAAAAGCATTTATAAAAATTTTTTACATCGCATGCGTTTTGAAGAAATGTTTATGCTACACAAGTCAAGTTACATAAAAACAAATTTGTTCACTTTGAGAGAGAGAGAGAGAGAGAGAGAGAGAGAGAGAAAAATAATTACTTTATTTCGTTAGTTTTCGTTAAAAAAAAAAAAAAATGATTGTTTTACCAGATTTTATCTGGTAAAAACGCTCCCTCCGGATCGACAGTCCTCCTCTCTCACTGTTGTTTCGTTCGCTTGCTCGCGAAAGCGGGACTCTGCGGATTGGTGAGGGGTTTCGTGTGCTTTAGAATGACCGGGGTTTTGAACGCCGGCATCGGCCTCGCCTTCACCTCCGCGAGTTTTCTCATCTCCGCTCTCATTCGTCTGTCGTGCTCCTCCTGTTTTTTTTGTTGTTCCAGTCGCATCGCTTCCTCTTCCATCTCCTTGCGTTTGAGCTTCTCTTCGAACTCTCGTCGTTCTCTGGCTCGTTTGTCCGTGTAGAGTTCGAAAGAACTAGTTCTTTTTGTCAACGGGGGGGCCGCCTTCTTCTGTTTGTCCGAACAGTCGGCCGTATTCCTCGGAACAGCTGGAACCACATTCCGCTCCTTCTGATCCTCGCGCTCGTCCTCGTGCGAGGTTCCCGCCTTCGTCGCGTTAGTCGTCACTTTCGAACTTTCTTCCTGCTGCAACACCGGCTTGTGAAACGGCGCCGGATTCGCGCGAAACACGCGCGAACGTTTCTCCTCCTCGAGCAGTTCTTTGATCTTTTGCTCTTTCTTCTTTGGTATGAGCTTGTCCCGCTCGTCGAAGCTAAACGGACGGGGTAGAATCATCTTGCGACCCGTCTGTTGGTGGCTGGTCCCAGCAGGTTTCGACGGTTTCGAGAAATTCGGCGCCGGTTTGGCGTGAAATTCCGGATGTTTGGGTTTGACGGCTTCCTGCAGATTCTTCAGTCGTTCCTCCTTCTTTTTCTGTAGATCCTTGTTGCGCGTCTCGAGACCGAACGGTTTGACGCGCGTCACGTTCTTCGTCATCGACGGCACGCCGAAGCTCGAGATCTCTCTGCGTCTCGCGACGATACCGTCCACGTCGACCCTCGTGACCGTCGTGGCAAGAACCACCTCGCTCTTGCGCAACGGCGATCTTGACCGAACGGTCTCAGCCGGTTGCGTGTTCAGGCTCGTTGATGATTTCGTCACGGCATTCGATCTTCTCGCCAGCATCACGCTGCGCGGTATCGGATTTGCTTTGATGCGATTCTTCTTCATCTCCTCCAACTCCAACATTTCCTTCTCATCTCTGCTGAGCACTTTGACGGGGCGCGTTCTGTTCTTCGTCACCAATGCAGGTGAGATCGGTATCGTTGTCCTCAGATGAGACTGTCTGGACAACGCGATGTTGTTGTCCTTGATGCTCTTGGTGTGGAAGCGCTTGGGCGTTGTGTTCTGGAAACGCGACACCGCTTCCGCCATGCTTACGTACTTCTTGCTGACGGACATTCTGCGAGCATCCATGGAGATTCGTCTATGATTTTTCCACGTGAGCACTTTGGCTGATTGAACGCTTTTCCCAGACAATCCAGGCTGTTGCAGAATGTCTTCGTCTTGTTGTTGTTTGTTGTCGTCACCCGACTCCTCTGATTTATTCTTGAATTCTGTCTCTTCGTCAAGTTCATCACCCTCTGTTGCATCATGTTTCTCGTTGGTTTCTTCTGTTATTATTATATTTACATTGTGTTTCTCATCTTCGTCTCGAATGTTTTTATCGTCACACGTTTTTTCCTTGTTGTTGTCGCACTTGGTCTCGTTGGGCTTGACGTCATCTGTTGAGCCACGCGGTTCAACATTTTGCGTACGATTTTCTTCGTTGAACAAAGAAAGACTGACGGATTGTTTCTTCGCGGCACCGATCGACGTGCCTAGATTCTTACTGATTTTCTTCACTGATCTGGTCTCTTGTCTTCCCACAAGAACGCCTTTGTGCGGCAAACTGCGACAACCGACGGATCTCGACGATTTAACGAGCTTGGTCGTGATCGGTGTTTTGAATCCCCCCGTCGGTTCCTGACCGATCTTGCTCAGATCTTGGGTCTTGTGCAATCTGTTGCAGAAATCTAATTTCTTCATCGCCTCGCTGAGCACTTTGTCGCAGGTGGTGAACTGTTCGATCGCCGCTTTTCCGCGACACGGCGGCGAGATGATCACCTTGATCGGGGTGTTCTTGATGATATTCTCTTCCTGAACTTTCAAGTACATCTTGTCGTTCGCCAGCGCATGCTGGGGATCGGCGTTCTCCGCGTTCTCGAAGGTCGAGTCGCAAATCGTTTCTTTACGCTCGTGCATCTTGTGCACCTTCTCGAAGAAGTCCGGCGTGGACATCTGAGGACTCGTGCTCTCGGTGAAGTCTAAATACTGGGGCGCTCGCACATTGCTGTATTCCTCTTCCATCATGTGTGTCTCATGCCATTCACGAAGACCCAAAAATGAATGAATCTGCAACGTGAGAAAGCGATCAGACACAAGCGACGTGACACAACGTCGCAGACAACGGGCGACTCCTCGTGCAAACAAGTCAAAAATTTAGAACAAGAAGATCTCGATTAAAAAACGCGGTTTTCTCGAAAGTTAGGAGCAAATAGAACCATTGACACGTTGTTGCGAGAGAAACGAAATACTCTGGACGTAACATCAAAATCAAAACACTCACGTTTTTCAACAGCTCACGTGTGAAACTATTCGAAGACGAATGACGTGATTATGTCTCCTTGTCTCTTCTTCAGATTCTGTAACCTCTAGTTTCTAACAAAGATAAAATCTCTCGACGCACACAGACCGGTCAAACGCGGAACGAAATGTGACGAAGAAGAAGCAGTTCGGTGTGTAACGTCCGATCAGACCGGTGACAACAACGTTCCGGTTTGAATTTCAATGGCCTCGTCCGGATTGGCTGGGTTGTTGCCAACCAATCCGGACTCGCCAACCGGTTGGTTGTGTGCGCGCGGTAACGGTCTAGGCGGCGCCTTAGAGAAAACGCGGTATTCAAGAGGGAACACATAAACACAGAAGGAAAAAATTGAGGACAAGAACAAAGTTGCAAAAGACAAATTGGAAAAGCATTTGCTTATAATTTTCTGTAAAACACGTATATATTTCGGTAAGAGACAAAAAAATATAAAACTAAAAAAAGTTGCGAGAATCAGTTCGGAATGTTAGAAAACAAATGTTGTTGTATCAAATAATTAATTGTACACCGTCGAAAAATAATACATTTCTTCTTGTATTGTACGTTAATGTATTTACATACGCTAGGGGTATATATTGTTACGTGTGTTACACACACGTCTGTCGGATGGAAACGATTTCGACCAACGCGCATGCGCGGTCTTTAAAAATTTCCGTTCGCTCGTATCGTCGCGACCAATCGGAATCCGTCGGGGGGTCCAAATCGGAACGCGCGAACCGCGATATGTTTTCGCTACACTCTTGCAAGTGTCACTTGATGTCATTTTATTCATTTTATTTTGTATATCGAGTTTTTTTTATTAATTATTTTCCTTGTAAAATAACGTCGAGTACAAAGATCCCAAAGTGTGAATATTGGCCAGTAGTATCAAACGCAGGGTGTCCGTGAAGCGAGCGTTGGGCACGGACGTGTCGCTGTCCCTCCAGGCTATGTTGGCGCCTTCGCTCCGCATGAACAACGCCGGGGACGGCACGTTTTCGCGCATATACGCCCATACGCATTCCCTCATTATTGTGTTGATCTGAAACGCAAAACTGAAGCCATTTACCAGAATCCAATCGAAACCTGTCTGAGAAAAATCGCAAATATATATATACCTGATGAGGCTGCAAAACAGGCAAGATGTCTCTGATACTCGCCAGTGGTGGCGGCAACAACTGACCGAGCGCCATGATATTGAGAAGCAACACTCCTTCCTTCGTGTTCCAGTTGGCCATCACGGTCGCGGCGATGCCTCGCAGTAAAACGGAGCAATAAGCCAGGGCCGGTCTGTACCAGGCGGTCAATTCCAACAGCGTCCACAACAAAGGCACATCCTTGAATCTGCGACGGATTTGTAAATCCCTTTCTATCGTGACCTGAGCAACGAATCGAAAACAAACGTTAATTAACGATGATTGATCAATATAAACTTGAAGTACTTATCGTGAAAATTTTACCTTCGTAAATTCTTCATCCGGCCATGGAAGACCGTTGTACATAACGTCAGGAGACACCAGTTCGACCAGCAGCAAACTGACCATCGTCAGAGCGTCCAAGTTTACGGAGTTCTGACCCGATCCCTGACTGCTGCAACAAGCCTAAAAAAACATCTGGTTTACAACTGAAAGTTGTGCGCGTATCAAACGTATACACACACGATTCTCATCCTTACCTTTATAACGTCTATCAACAACATTGTGTTCAAGTTAATGATCTCTTCCTGAATCAAATTCTCCGGCGGAAGTCTTCGGGGACCGTGTCCTATCACGCCAGCATGGAACACCGACGAGTGTCGCTGCGCCAACATGGTGCTCGTCACCTACGCGGACGAAATTATTAAAATCCGCGCGTCTTGCCGGAAGTCGCAGAAAACACGTTGCTACTTTGGAATTTTATATCTTAACGAACTATTGTTATACCGTACTTGTTTGTGATTCTGTTGTAACAACAACATCTCCTCGAAACGAGGCTCGAACTTCTCCTTAGCGCCGAAATACTTGGCCGGTTCGTTATTGATACCGTTCTCCAAGATCTCTCTGAGAGCCAGTGCACGCGCGCACGAGGAGTAACACGTCAGTTTCCTCAGCAAATGACACACCATTCTCACTCCGCGTTCCTTTCGTATAATATCTAGCGAAACAAAAACACACACATCTTGTTGTGTGTACGTCTGCGCTGTGCTCAGAGAAACAAATAAAGAATGTTGAATTACCGTGTTCCGTAATGCACAAGAAAAAATATTGCGTCACCGCTTTCGTCAACTTGAGCACAAGCTCGACGTTGAGATTGTGATCTTTCTCGGGTGTGCCCAGCAGATCCAGCAGAGTGACGATGTTGTTCGCCAAGTCGAAGTTGTCGGTTTTCGTCAGCAAGTTGGCTATTTGATGCAAGTTGGATCTAAGAGCCTTGGTGATCATTTTCGACTGCAGTATCGCCGCTTTATTGGAAATCTCCCATCTGAAACGCAGAAGACAAAAAGAAATCACACAATTATATCACAAGTGCGAGACAAGTGTATCAAACTACATGTTGGAACGTGATATGCTTTCCTCAACAGCGTGATGAGATTTTTGAACAACTGTCCCGATTCCTCCGTGACGCTCTTGTACCCGATCTCTCTGAGCGCTTCTTCCAGAACTTGCGTGAAATGATCGTGACCGTTGAGAATGTTTTCCGTGCCAGATTTGTTTGTGGCAAACAGAACGATGTTATTGGCGATGTAACGTATCAGAGCCGCGAGATGAAACGTGGTCTGCGCCTTTAGCAGCATGTAAGACGCCGTGGAAATGACTATGTTCGGACTCTGATTCTTGAGGAAGCACAAGAGTCTGACGGTGGTTTGCACGCGCAGCGGATTCGGACTCAGAAGCATCGGTTTTATCGACGATATCTCCTGTTTGATGGAACTCAGCAGAGCGATGCTCGTTGACTGCGGACCGTGCGTTCTCAACACGAGATCGATCTCCTCCAGAATCAATTCCAGCAACTCCCGGCACACATTCTTCACGTTTTGCGCCGCGTTCACGCTGTGATAACCGACGTTACTCGTGTTTAGATTAGTGTCCAGGAGTATGTTGATGATCTGCGACGCGCCCTGCTCGCATCCCAGAATCAGGTGCACCGTCAGATCCATCAACGCTGCCGGATGACCGCTGAAGTACTTGCACCAGTCCGACGCGAACAACGCCAAACCCGGTATAATGTCCGGTCTCACTGCGACAAATTTGTAATTTTTAAAGCAAGTTATCGGATTGCGTATGTAAGTTCAATGTGTGAAAAACCTACGCGTTTGCAACAGATCGCTGGTTATCGCTCTCAACAGGGTTTGCGAGAGCGAGGCCAGGTTCAAGAGAAAAGGTACCGTGGCCAGTTTCTGCTTCTTGATTTCGTCGTCCAGATTTACGTCTTCCTTCAAACTCCACTGTTAATTTTACAAATTAACATTAGCCAATAGAAACAACAAAGCAAAACGAAACAAATTAGAACGAGGGGGCGAGCTTGCCTCGAATAGTTCCAACAGGGCTCTCTTGATGTCCTCGAAGTGACTGCCCGCCAAATGTCCGAGTATGCCGACAACGGAATTTAACTTCGGATTCTTGACGCTGTGCTCGTATCCCATCGAGCAAAAGTCTTTCAATCCGCACGAGAGCACCCGGGTGATGACGGTGTTCGGGAAACAGCTGCCCACATGGGCGACCACCCAGTCGAAATACGGACTGTGCAGAACACTTGTGTCCAACAAAGCCTTGATACAGGACTCGGTGTCCGAGTGCATGAGACATTGCAGACACTGAGCCGTGATGTCTATCAGAGTTCGCGTTGCTCGGCACGACATCCACTGATGAAGAAAGTCGTTGATGCCAGCGTTCACCGGCAGATTGCCGCGTTTTGCAAAATCCGATGACAATTTGCCTGCAACGCGCGCAAACAAATGTTGAATCGCAAGAACGTTTTATATATAAACAAGATTTATACAAATCAAATTTAAACAATCAATTAAATCGAAATTATTAATCGATATCTAATTACACTCTGTTCTGAAGTTGACTAATTGACAAATGATGAAGCGAATTAAATATAAACACACCGAGCAGATCCAATGACCAGGCGGATATGATGGGCGCCCATGCTTCTGGATTGCCGTTCACAAAACCGCTCAGAACAGTGTGGATTTCCGCTATAATGCTCTCCTCGGGTATTGATATGTTCTGATTCGTCTGTTGAAATAATGACACAAATTTTTGTTACAAAACTGACTGACATAAAAATCAAACGCCGTGCACAACCGTGATGTAAACAAAACGCGAGAAGGAGGGGGTGTCATTGCACATTACCTCGATCTGACGAACGTACTTTGTCACAGCCACGAAGAATACGTTGCAAAAGTACTCGAGCACGGCTTCCCTCGCGGCGGGCACGTTCTTCAGCAAAGACAACGCTATGCGCGTGGTGTCCTGGGTGTTTGCGTTGTGAGATGACGCTCGTACGGCGCCGGAAATAAATTTTCTAACGTCGGTCAGAATGTCCTGAGGCGACGGAGACATCGTTGCGGCAGACATCATCGTCTGCGTTCGTTCAAATTCAATTCGTTTTTTGGACAAAAAAAAACTGTTTCGCACCGCGTACTCTCGCCGTACGTTCCGCCGACGAGCGTCTTCTTCTTCAGGTTATGTTGTTGTTGTTGTTGATTGCAGCGCGACAAAGCTCTTGTCACGTGGGAGCGTGATGAAATGTCGGAGCGAACGACGGACGGAAGATAAAATTTTTCTATGTATTTTTTTTTGCAAAAAGCAAGCAAGCTCGTGAGATACACAATTGGAAACACAAAAACTATGTACTTGTCCCTCGTCACGCACTTGAGAAAAATTGATAAAAAGTAAAAAAAAAGATTGGAAGATGTTGGAGGCAAAGATCTTTGAAACAGGTTCTGTATATTGCACAAAATATTTCATTTCAGTAAATGTTATTTACATACGTGTGTTGTTTGAGAGAAACGAAACAAGTGTCTGGACAATTGTTTAGTTATCTCTGAACAGTTGGTGTATAAATATTTCGATCACAATGTATATATATATTAGAATGTGAGATTAATACAAAGAGAGAGAAGGGAAGCGTCAACGTCTCTTCTTCTTCTCTTGCTTGCGAGGCCGATGGGGTCTTCTGGGTGTCACCTGAGGACTGTTCTCGGAACACTCCACATCGCTGGGGTCGTCCTGCAATAAAAAAAAAATCAATTGTTAAATAAAACAAGAAAGAACATTTATCTTCAAAGAAAACTCTCGGATGGATGGATGACAAACCTTTAAAGCTGCGACACCATCAGACGGTCCTGCCTGATATATCACTATGGCCAGCAAGCACATCACCTGGAACACCGCTCCCACGTACAGGCCGAATCTCAACAACTGTTCGAACACAGTTTCCTCGGTTGGCAGCAAAAGACGCTTGAACTGCGGATCCGTGTCTGTCATCTCTTTTATCTTTGCAGAAAGAGTATAATACAATTAAAAATTAATTTCTAATATCTTTATCTACTAACATCAGATATAAGAGTTAAATAACAAACTATGTAAGAGAGTTAACGTAACGCAAAAGAGACAAGATTTCTCTCTCTCTCTGGCAATCGAGTGCCACACAAGAGCAACGTTTCACACATTGTGTGAACATTGCGGTAAATTGTATATATTTGCTATCAAGAGAATGTGATCAATGTTTTTGGCAATATTGCGCAAGCAATAAAAACAATATTCCCGCAATGTTCCAGCAATGTGTCGCGGGGGATCGTTCGTTTTTTTAAACGACTAACAACAAACGAAACGATTTCTCGCTCCGAGAACTTACTTAGTTGCGAGTTCAACAGTTTTTTAAAAAACGTGTGGTATAATTCGAACGTCAAAACGCTACTTTTAGAACTGCCGATCTCGTTCGAAGCGAAACGTGATGATCGTTCGGAAGATAGGGGGGCAGAAGGGGGGCCCTTTTCTCATTCGCTAGTTTCTCCTCAAGGTTTCGTCGGCATTCTCTGAGGGTTTTGTTTTTTCTACTCTTTTTCGCCCTTTCGGTGGCATTCCATTACCCGAAGACCGGGGGAGGCAAGACCGCGCGCGATCTCCCCCCGTATTTTTCCTCTCTTTCTTATTTTCAACCCGGGAGACTTATTTCTCTCTCTCTCTCTGTCTCGCAGGATTCTCCTCTCTCACGTTCTTCCCCGTGTCCTCGCGTATCGCAACCGCGACCGAGATTCCCAACCGGCAATATATACCTGGTTCAATCGCACCGACGGGGCACGTGTGTCGCGATATTCATACGGTTGATATACATATGTCGGGGGGGTGGG